GCAGAGGTGGGCCACGGGGTCTCGGTGGCGTGAGTGCGACCGGCACAACGGGGAACACGCTCACGACGAAGAAGGGGGCAACGCAGCCCACATTTAATCTTTTAATTAATGAGAAATCAGGCACTGACTGGGGACTCCACGCTCCAAAGTGACGTCAGGACCGACGGGGCGGGCCAGCCTGGGGCCAGCGTGCATCCAGAGAGAGAGAGAGAGAGAGAGAGAGAGAGAGAGAGAGAGAGAGAGAGAGAGAGAGAGAGAGAGAGAGAGAGAGAGAGATGTGGCCCGGGGGAAAACGCGTCCTCCTCTTTTTATTTCCACGTCTTTCGGGTGGAGTCCCTGATAACGGGTTCCAAAGAGGAAAATGGAAGAAAGGTCTGAGCCCTGCTCGATTGTACCGAGGGCGCCATGCCATGGCCAGGCTGCCCGACTTTTCTAATTGTGCTCTCTCTCTCTCTCTTCCTCTCTCTCTCTCTCTCTCTCTCTCTCTCTCTCTCTCTCTCTCTCTCTCTCTCCTCTCCCCGTTCACTTAGCGCGGGGTGGACGTCAGAGCCAGCCGTGCTTTCCAGCGCGATGACGGACAGGAGGTGGCCGGGAATCCGGGAATTCGGGACCAGGCGCACCAGTTCGGTAGGCCCGTCTGTCTCTCTCGCACCCCACGGTCCTCCGGGCCCGGCCCGGTGAGAGCGAGAGAGACGGAGCGACAGGGAATCCCTCCGTCTTGACCGCGTGACGCGGCGCGCGGCGTGAAGGCCGGTTCCGTTCGGTACCAACACGAGAAAAACAAAAACATAAACAAGGCCCGGGCCGTCACGCCAAGGCGCGCCAAGGGCCACGTGAGGCTCTCTCGCGGGGCGCCTCTTCCTCGAGAGGATCGATCACGGAATCGACGCCGTGTCCAGGTACGTCCATTTGAGCAAACCGGAGGCGACAGCGCGACACGAAAGAACGGCTAAGTGGCGAAAAGGCTCGCGGTGCAACCCTGGGAGTAATCCCCCGACGCGCAGCCAGCCAGGCAACCTGAGCACAATTATGGCTTATCAAGGGCCTGAGTAACCCCAGCCGCCAAGGGAGTGGTCAAGGTACTCCGGTGTCGGGTTGCAAGCCCTTCACACGTTCGGCGTTATTTTTTTTACTTTTCCGGTCGAAAATAAACGACGGGGGAAATGGGAATCCGAATCAGGGAAATGCAACTGCAACAGACGGTCGCCCCGGCATGTCCGCGAGTGACAACAGAGTGACATGGAGTGACGGAGTGACGGAGTGACACGCAGTGCGACGGAGTGCGACGGAGTGAGTCGTTTGCAGCCCGTAATGCCCTGCGACGGACAGTCCGGATCAAATTCCACAACAAGCGGCGAAACCAGTTTACCAGTGCCCCGGCCGGCGGCTGGAGTGGCCGGGGACTCCAGCACTCCAGCGGAGCGAGCGCGGAGCCGCGCGAATCAGCTGGCCCGGGCCGACTAGGCGGCGGCGGTGGGGGTCGCGGGTTCGAGTCCCGGCGAGGGGCGCGCCGAGCTTTTTATCGCCCTTCTTAATTGCCTTTTCGTGGATTTAACGAGATCAATCAAAATGAGCGAGCCGAGTGAGCATGCCTCGCCACGCCGCGCCACGCCACGGCGCGACGCGTCGCGCGGCCGGATGCCCACCTGTGACCTCTCCTTTCACTAGGCCACGGTCGCCCGCCCCGCCGCGCCCCGCCGCGCCCCGCCACGCCCCACCCCGCCACGAACAAAGAGGCTCACTCGTCTCAAGCCGCCGTCCAGCGGGGAGGGAGGGAGGCATTGTGTGGCAAATTTAGGCCTTTATTTTCCATTTCAAAATTGTCACTTTGTCCTTAGGGCTAAGCCACGTGCGGGTCAGCCCCCTCCCCACCCCTTTTCCCCACCACCCCACCTCTCCCGCCCCACAAGTCATCCACTGCACGAGACCAGTCTACACTGAGCTGACGAGCTGGCCATCACTATGACCTATCGATACGCACAAATTCTCGAAAATTTGCTGTTTGCTTTAAAAACGAACTAGAAATTTACGGAAAACAAGAACTATAATACTAATGTGACGCGAGAACCACGGAGGTCAGAGCCTTTCAATTCACCTCAACCCGTTCCAGTGAGGCCCATAGGGGTGCGGCAAAAAGTATCGACAGAGTCAAGCAGGAGGTGCTGTGAGTGGCCGAAGGGGGAAAGGGGGGGAAGGGGGGAAAGGGGGGGGGTATAGCCGGTAGAGCCAGACCGCGTCTGCCCCTGACAGTGAAACCTGTTGCCAAAAGGCGTACTGTACTAGGCTGCCCGGATGACAGGGAATCTCGGGCGTTCCGCACGCAAGTATGCAGCCGCTGCCAGCTGGTTTAATTCGTTTTTCACGCGCCGATCGGCATAAACAGCCCAAAGCTGTAACCCGGGAGATGCGATGGTTCGCGACCAGCCAAAGCTACAAACGTGCCAAGTTAGGGTCAGAAACAAACGCGGAAATTTGAGATAAATCATTTCTTCCCAGTGACTTTTATCACGGAGATGGATGAAGGGAGCTCATTCTACTCAATTGTAGACAGAAGTGAGAAATGGGTTTGTCGTTTAGTAAAACTAAAAGAAAATGCCCCAAAATAAACTATCACTGTGAAGCATTTCTTTTTATGGCCCGGGAGAGTCACACGAAAATAAATAATGACAGAAAAAGGCAACGTGGCCCCCGAACGAGTTGGTTGGGTCCAACATGAGACATTGTCGCCAGGTGGATCTCCACCCATCACACTGTACTCACAATCCGAGGAGGAAACGGGACTAGAGTGGCGTGGCAAGGCCTGCGGTAGCGGCTGTGGCTAGGCACAAGTAGGTTAGGTTGCCTACCCTGTCCGGTCCAGGGTGGCTGGACGTGAGTAGGTTGCCTACCCTGACAGGTCCATGGGGTCCGCGCTAGAGAAGGCATTCGCTTGATGCAGCGACGGTTCGGCGTTGCGTAACTCATTTGCCCCGGGAAATGGGAATAGGAATACCAAATACCAAGTCTCGTGAGTGAGCACGAGGCTGTCCAGGCGGCTGTCTGGACCGGGCCGCACCATGCTGGCCCAGGCTGGCCAGCCACAACACGAAAGAGAGAGAAACACGCCTCCACGAGTATTGAACACAATGTTGTTCTTCCGCCTGCCTAACCAATTCAGGGTCAGGCGTTCAATGTTAGACGCGACTGGTTTTGGTTGCCAACGCGCTACTTGAAACCGCGTGCCCGGACACGTGAAATACCCGTTCCCGACAAACTGGGATACAACGGGCGATTTGTGACAAAGCCTTTTTATTTTCGTTAATTTTTGCACGCGAAAGGTACAGTAGCCGCTCGTCGCCTGCTCGCCTATCTGAACCTAAAGGACAAGCTGGGGGCCAACAGGGCTGGAAGTTGATACGCAATGGCGACACATTGCGGTTTCGCACGGCCTTGCACACTTCTTCCGAAGAGTCGCTTCATCGCTCTGTCTCTCTCGCACTCGTGGAGCGTCCCGTATGGGTGCGAGCGAGACGGAGGTACGAAATGACTTTTCGGAAGTCTGCTTCTGCTATGCCTCGCACTGCGGTCGACAAAAGGAATACGGAGGGAAAGATCGGGAGGACTCAATTCCCTGCCTGCGACCCTCTCAACGAGCGATGAGGCATTTTAAAGACACAGTTCGACGAGAAGAGATATCGAAAACCCAGTAGGGTAGATTCAAAGAGCTCGAGCAACAGTTATTTCATTCCGTCTTTTCCGCGACGCCCCTTGACCACCCTCTACCTCCATTTTTGGTTTTCGAGCAAATCGAGTGGCCTCGCCTATCCGCACTCGGCCTGGCTCGGTCTGGCACGGCCTATCGAGGTATCGATTGTCACAGGCGAGGTCACCAGCCGTTCCCATGAGGCGCGTTATGTAAGTCCTCGACCTCAGACGGAGAAGGAGGCGGCCGACCAATCGGGGGCCGGCGTGCTGGCCGTGGCTGGCCGCTGCACCGCCTTCGGGAGGGACACGGGAGGGCTCGGCATACAGGGCACGCAGGGCACGCAGGGCTAGGGCGCCTTCGAGGCCCTTAAGGTCAAGGGCCCAGGGCGGCCCAGGGTCAAGGGCCGAGAACCGAGAGGCAGCCGCCAAGGAGCTGTCCAGCAACTGCCCACGAATCGAAGTCGCTCAAAGATCATCCGAACGCCGAAGCCGGTCAAATCATCATCTCCTTGGCCCCATTTTCCCGACTTGAAATCAAAGGGTGGTCGCAAACGTTCCGAAAATCGGCTCGTCGGCATCTCTCGCTGGAAGTCGTCTTCCGTTTCGTGCTTTACCGCCGCCAGAGTTGCTGGGGACCGAATCAAGGCGCGCGACTGTACAGTCCCCCCGGGCCAGCTGACCGAATTAAAAAAAAAATAGAATAAAAGCGACAACCGACAACCCGTAAAAGTGGGTTATTCAGACCCCCTTCCCCTTCTGCACCTGTTACTCGCAAGCCTTGAAGGGTTTCGGAAAGTGCGGGTCGTCCTAACTCGACCCAAACCACGGTTCAGACGAAACCATCAGAAAAACCGACCGGCTGACGTAATTTGTAGTTTGCCGCCAGTAAGCCGAACGATGGAAATAATAATTTGTGTAAATTGAAACGACGCAAGACGAGCGCTGAGACGACATTTACATTCCATCATATAAATCAATTGGAACGATCTCCGGAGGTCTAGAGGACCATTCAAATAAGTAATTTTTTTTATTTTTTTTTCAAGGGACGATCGATTAACAGACGTACACGACATGTCAATCTACTTTGCATCAAATTCCTACATGAAATTCCTTTAGCAGATTTGGGACTTCCCTCGCACTCTTTTCACGACCATTTGTAAAGGTACGTTAAAAGTAAGTATAAATCTCGAGAGTGTACGTAACTATGTCATCTTTTCATTCGCGCTTAGATGTAAACAAGAAAATAATCATGACCGGGACCACTCCGCCCCCAAAACAGGTCCCGCCACTCTGGGTAAAGAAAAGACTGTACTCACTTCCGGTCTCCGATTCGGTCTTCTTGACCACCATGACGGTCGAGTCGGATGTCTGTCCGTTCTTGAGTTCACGCATGACGGCGGCTGGGATGGACGATGGACGGAGTGTGGCACTAGTTGGTCCGGGAGGTCCGGGAGTGCTATAGGCGCGGGAAGCGAAGGCGGTGCTGCGATCTACTTCGGTGAGGTTAGGTTGGCGTGGCGGTGGAGGGGGCGGCGGCGGTCCACTGCACAGACTCGCGTCGAAGTAGTGGCTCGGCTCGGTAGCACGCACGCCTTTATATTTACCCGGCGACGCGCTGCGACGCGGTGCGACGCGCTGCGACGCGACGCGGTTGCGGCGGGACGCGGCGAGAGGCGGCGCGGCGAGACGCGGCGGCGCGGCGCGCTGCGGCCCGGACCGGCAGGGCCGGGGAAGCCTGTGTCACTGCCAGCCCCCAACAGAGAGGGGATGAAGAAGAACCATCTCAAAACATTTCAAGCCAAAAGCCAAATTTAAAAAAAAAATCAAAATTGGATCGGTAAAAAAATACGATATGTCGTTAAAGAACACGTACAGTAGTAGGAGATTTATTCATCAAGAGAACATCCTGGACTGGCTGGAACGTGCAGGGACGTCCCTCGTTCGACGCGGCACGCGTACCAATTGCTTTGCGTGTCATAATCACCTGTTGAAAAATCAGTCCCAACTTTCCGGAGTGAAAAGGCACAAAGGGTTGGCCAAATTTGAAGTACATTTCCTGAAGAAACGATGCCCGTCCTTGTCGTCGCGTTTCCAACCTCCGATACTGCCCTGAGCGGACGCCGTGGACGCCCCCACTCCACTTCTACTCTTTCTTTACTAATTCGAAATGAAAAACTGTCCGATGCAGTTGTCCGTGACGGCCTAGCAGCTTGTCTCGCTCTGGCCACGGAGAAATCCGTCAAACGCCTCACACACGCAGTGGACGCCCTACGCCGCGGCGCGCCGCCCGTCTGCCCACATCCCACAGGCTGGCCTTAATGCCTGACTCCTGACAACAGCCCGTGATACGCCACGCCAGGGCGAGCCAGGGTAGCCTTCGGAAAACGTCAGTCGGACACACGAGGCTCCGAGCAGCTCCAAGCCGCTTGGCGACATGCCGGCCCCTGCCACGCTTGGCGAGGTTGCCACAAAAATCTGACACAATCAAGTGTCCGCATCGGCCAGAAAGGGATTTCGGATCTAATGTTACGCAACGCAGAAATTGGCTACACTGGACAGTTTCCTGCATACGTGAGCGCGGCGCTGCTTCCAGCGGCTCTTCGGGCGGTCTTCGGTCTTCGGGCGCCGGAGCACGAGCGGCGTGCATCACAATTTGAACGGACTTACATAAAGACTCGGCGGCGAGGCGATAAACCCGGATAGACCCGTCCTTGGCAGTGAATGAGTGCCCCCAAAGTGCGTGTGTCAGCTGTGCGGTCGGCGCTGTCCACAGTGCATTTTATTCCGGGTCTCCAACATCAGCATACAACAAAGACAAAATTTTCCAGCATTCCTCGTTTTACTTTGGTATTTTTAATATTTTTTTGTTTCTGGACAACACGGGCGAGCATCATAACTCAACCTCATCAGTTGCGGGAGCAAATTTTACTCTTGGTTGCCGGAGGGTTGCCTACCCTTTCTCCCTTCCGACCTGACAAACACCGTCGAAAACGTTTTTCCTCGATGTCCGTGAATTCGAGCGGCCTGGCCTAGGCCTGGCATCCGCCGCGCCGCGCCCGGCCGCCACGGAACACTTACATAAGTACCAACGACAGCGATTTCCATTTTCAGTTCGCGCGATGAATGCCATCAACTGGCAGGCTTCGAACAAACGCCTTTCTGCTCCTCGGCTCCCTTTTTTTCCTTTTCCTCCTTGACTCCTTCGACTCTTCCACTATCTTGGACGAGTTCCGTGCGCCTTGCCTCGTCACATAACGCCACAATCCCGCGTTAATGGATCGACCTGGAATTGGCTACTAAATAGCGAACCGTACACGTCTTGTTCTGCATCTCATTTTATTTCTTATGCAAATTCGAATGGTGTGAATGTTTCGAACCGGAAACGCAGTGACTCTTCACTTGGAAGACAAAGGCTGGTCAGACTGACGGGCAAGTGCTCGAGGTGTGGTCTAGTGTGACCATGACAACGCTGCGAAAGAACAGGTTATCCGGGCATTCGGTAGTCTGTGCAAAAGACAAAAGCCTGCCTGGTTGTCGGGTCTGCGGGTCGCGCCTGCCACGGCGGTGCAGGCCGCCCGCAGCACTGCCGCGCCCGGTGGGCTGCCTCGGCGGCCCCTTCCCCCACCCTTCCCCCACCCTTCCCCCACCCTTCCCCCACCTTCCCCCACCCGTCCCACTGCCTCCAATCAGCTGCTCGCCACGCGGATGCCGGCGTGGCTGGCGTGGCGACCAACAGTGTGCTCCGTCAAATGCCTGCCACATCCAGCCGACACCAGCCGCACGCCATAAGAATTATCCGCACTGTTAATTTCCTGGAAATGTGCAAATGGCGTGGTGCCAACGATGCGATTCCCGTTGAGATCCATTATTCATTAAACGACTCTCGCGTCCGATCCATGAATTTCGTTCCTATCGTCCGTGTGGCGGGACTGGTGGGACTGGTGGGACTGGTGGGTGTGCGGAGGCAGGGCTGGCAGGCGTCGCGTCTTGGTGATGGTCTTGAACAGGCCGGTCGATCCCTTGGGCGTCCGAGGCCTCGACGCGTCGGCGAAGTCGACGTGGTACAGGCCGAACCGGGCCCTGGAACACAGTGGAACACCGATGACCGTCAAACACTTCATCGGAGGCGGTCCGTAGCGCTGCAATAGCGCTGAGGCATCTCTAAATCGTTTAAATCGCTCTCGTGCGTTACGTGACGACACAGCCGCAAAGAAGGAAGGGGGAGGGGTCTTTGAATAGACCGTTGGGTGAGGGCGGGGGAGGCAGACGCGTCGGTCTGCAGGCTGGGATTCCGAACACTGTCTCTCTCGCACTCCTGGGGGACGCCCCATCAGCGCGAGAGAGACAGCGACAGTTCGGGACCAGCCTGCCATGAGGGAGGGGGAAGTTATTGTGCGACGAAGAGCGATGGGCAGCGGAGCCGCGGAGCGCTCGGGAAGTGAAAGGTGAGGTCCGGTTCAGTTGCTTGGGAAGAGGGGCCGTCTTTCTACAGCGAGGTTCCATGGTGTAATGGTTAGCACTCAGGACTCTGAATCCTGCGATCCGAGTTCAAATCTCGGTGGAACCTTCATTTTTCTCCGGCACTTTCCCTTAAAATTATTGTTTCCGATTGTTTCAATAAGATAGGCGTCTGTAGGTCACGTAAGGCGTATGTGCGTGCCGGATTTTATTTTTTAAAATCCTTCATAGGCTACGTGAAACGTATTCTTCGTTGCACTGCGTCTATTAATTCAAAAATTAGAAAGTATTTCTGCCTCCAGAGAGAATCGAACTCTCGACCCCCAGTTTACTAGACTGGTGCTCTAACCACTGAGCTATGGAGGCGGGTTGGGGGAGTGACGTCCGATTACTTTGTTTCTTCGAGTTGGCTCGCATCGCGACACGGCGCCACGCCATCAGATCAGATAGCATGCCTGGCAATGCCTGGCCTGCCCAGGCCTGCGCCTCCCGGTTCCCGGCACCTCACTTCAGCCGTGTTTGAAGCATGTCAACAAAGGTGCGAGTGCGACACGGGTGAGAGACGCGGTACGACTTTGCGAATATTATGTCAATAAAATGAAACCACGCCTGAACGCGCACTCCTATGAGTTCGACCAATTTAAAATCCAAAATGTCTTAAAACCAAAAAGGAAATTATGCAAATGCATAGGAATTCTTTTGGGATACTGGAAAACCGTCCGATGAGTTTCGATCGGATGTGTCTTACGTGTATCCGTCGTTCCACTCAAAATTGTCAAGAAGGCTCCAGGCGATGTAGCCGGACACATTGCACTTGTCCTCGTGCACAGCTTTCAGCAGCTGCTCCAGGTAGAGCTGCAACAAGGGCGTTGTTGTTTATGGGGGACATTGGAGTGCCATGAAGAGACAGTCAGTGCACTGCATGCTCACCGAGTGGTACGCGGTGCGGGCCGTGTCGTTGAGGTCCGACCCGGCACTGGAGAACCCGTTTTCCGTCACAATCACTGGCGGGTTGCCGTACGCGTCCCGAACCCACACCAGCAGTCTCCGGAAGCCCCACGGCACGACCTGGGGAAACACATCGGTCACGTGGTCCAGCGCGGAGCCAAGCCACGTAACACAGTGCCCTGTCTCTCTATAGGGGATGCCCCATGAGTGCGAGAGAGACAGAGCGACGAAAACGTCTCTCGGACCTTGAGCCACGTCGACGCGCTGCCCGGCCAGGAAGGGTCCTGCTCGAACTGCACCGCCGCGTCGCTGCTCCTGGAGAAGGACGAGGACGCCGCCGGCGCCTTGTCGCCCCCCGGGGCCGCAGAGGACGTCAAGTACGTCGAGTAGTGGTTCAGCCCGAAGAAGTCGGCGGATCCTAGGCGGAAAAAGACTCTGTTACGCCTCGTCGGTTTCTTTCGTGCAGTCGCACTGACCTACCTCGGAGGGCCGCGACCTGGGCCGCGGAGAAGGTGGGCAGCCGCGACCTGGACAGCCCCTGGGCCAAGCTGTTGGCCATGACGCGCTCCCTCATCACCGGGGGGTAGTCGCCCACCTCGCTGAAGATGGGGTGGGCGAACCAGCCCAGCTGCGACAGGGCGTCTCGTGATGCTTCGGGGAGGGGGGGGTGAAACCGAAGCGCAGGTGGCGGCGACACTCACCTTGAACTGTTGCGCGCGCTCCCTTGCCAGGCCGTCCTCCTCGCTGGAAGCGTTCCTCGCCTCGAACCACTCGCTGTTGAGCGTGATGCCCACCCTCCCTGCGGACGAAGGCACGCGCCTACTGACCAACCCCAACATCTCCGCTTCCAAGAGTCGTTTTCGTCGCCCTGTCTCCCTCGCGCCTGTGCGGGCCGCCCCATGAGTGCGAGAGAGACAGCCTACCCTTCTGCGACGCGGCGTGCTTCCGGTGGTAGAGGCGGTAGGCGGCGGCGTGGGCGCGCAGCACGGTGTGGGCGCACAGGTAGTCGCCCACGCCGTCCAGGTCCAGGTCGGGGGCGTTGTGGCCGCTGCCGTACCCGGACACGCACGTCTCGTAGGGCTCGTTGAACGTGAGCCAGAGCTTCACCCTGTCGCCGAACAGGCCGAAGGCCAGGTCGGCGTAGTCGACGTAGTAGTCCGCCAGGAGGGGGTTGGGCCAGCCGCCCAGGTCCTGCAGGGGTTGCGGTAGGTCCCAGTGGTACAGCGTCACCTGCAAAGGCGTCGCGCGTCTCACTCAAGTACTCGGAAAGTCGGATGGCAACTTCGAGAGTGGCAAGATGCCCCACCATAGGTTGGATGCTTTTGGACAGCAGCTCCGTGATCAGGTTGTTGTAGTAGTCCACGCCGGCCCTGTTGAGGTTGCCCACCATGCCGTTGGGCAGAATCCGCGACCACGAAATGGAGAATCGGTACACGTCCATCTGGAAGGGGACCGCGGCGTTCAGGACACAGTGCACGGCAGTGGGGCAAGGTCAGCCAACCACCCCACAAAAGGGGAGGGGTGGGGTGGAAGTGGGCCTCTACCCCTTGGTTTACCCACTCACCCCCAAGTCCTTGAGCAGGCTCACGTCCTCCTTGTACTTGTGGTACGAGTCGCAGGCCACGTCCCCGTTGGACCGGTCCGCCACGGAGTCGGGGTGCTCGTGCACCAGCCGGTCCCAGATGTTCTCGCCCTTGCCTTTAGCAGATCCGCACACTCGCGACAACACCAACCGACGCTAGTTGGGGGAGCGAACTGCAGGCTGATTCCGAAAGGGAGATTCGTCGCCCTGGCGCCCCTGCGGGCATTGCCTGCGGGCCCCAGAGAGACAGAGCATCGTTCGGGAATCAGCCTGCAGTGTGCCTGCGGGCAATGTAGCAGTGTACCGCTCTCGTTCCAGGCGCCCTCCACTTGGTAGGACGCGGTGGCGCAGCCGAAGACGAACCCCGTCGGGAAGGTGCGGTCGCCGTCGCCGAGCTCGGCCCTGGCGGCCTTGGCCGTCTGCAGCAGGAGCGCCAGCAGCAGCACGGAGACGGGGGCGGCGGCCATGACGGGGCACTGGAAACCACCGACTGCGGCGTGGGAGCTTTGGGACTACGCCACTGCACGCTGAACCACCCGCCCCGCTGCTCCGCTTCACTGGCATAATCTTGAAAAGCCCGCACGCCGGACGCGCCGGATATAGTACCAGCAGCCCAGCCCGGCCCAGCCGCCTCGGCGAACCATGGGCCACGCCGCCGGGCCGGGCCGCCAGGCAGTGCGGGCCGTGCAATGCAAACAGGGGGCACCGCGAGCACCGCGGGCACCGCGGGGTCGTTCACTCCACCGGGACAAGCAGCACAGAGAGTCGTTTTCATCTCTCTGTCTCTCTCGCACTCGTGGGGCGTTCCGCATAGGTGCGAGAGAGACAGAGCGACGAAAAGGACTCTCCGAAGGTCGATTGACCCATCCATGATCGACGGGTGCACCGCCCGGAAGGTAGGCAGTCCCTCTGACACGCGTCGGTATTACCGACTGTCTCGGCAGAAACTCGAACGAAATGGACGGTTTGGCTCGCATTTGGCTCGCGTTTTGCTGAGGGATCCCGCGATGACGCACGCACGTCACCGCGGGCAGCGTGCACGGGTGCAGCGCGTGGTGCGTGTGTCTGTCCAGTGCGGCCACCGTGCTCGGCGCGGCAGTCTCGTTCCGAGGATTCGTTTCGCCGCTGTCTCCGTCGCACCCGTGGCGCGGCGCGTGCGCACGCGTGCGAGTGCGAGGGAGACAGAGCGACGAATGGCCACCAATGACCACCAATGACCGCTGGGCCGGTGAGCCGCACACGGCCGTGTGCATGGCATGGCCAGGCCGTGGCATGCACTGCATGGCCAGCTGGTCGGAGGCATGAGGACATGAGGAGCAGCCCACCGCAAGTCCGAGGGTTCGGTTACCGAGATAGTGTTACCTGTGCAGCGCTGCGGTGCTGCAGCCGTGGGAGCGCCGAGGCGATGTTCGGCGGAGGCGTTTCGCGCGGGAAGGCACGCCGTTTTGCTTTCGTTCGAGTCGAGTGAATCGAACCATCGAACCATCCAAGATTGGCTTTTCACCAACACATTCCACGAGTGTGGTGCCTTGGTCGTGCGACCGGGCATGCTGATGACGCGGCCCATCTCAACCCTGACCCTGGTTGTTGCTGGTGGTCATTTCAAATTTCGCGCCGAAAAATTCCCCACCATGCGGCTCCTCTCAAAGCGTAAAATCGAACTCCTTGACCTTAAAATCGCAGCTCGAGCAGACCTCAGTCGAACGGCATGCTAATTCCTCGGTAAATTTCCGAACCCTTCACCTCGGGGGTCCAGGATCGGCACGTCAGTTGAGGCCCGGTGGAGCAGCATGTTAATATCAGTTGACACTGATGATGAAAGATCGGCGACCGTTGCATGCCACGCGACGCCACGCGATGCCACGCCATGTCCGATGTGAAGCCCGCCCATGCCGGGTCCGTGGCCCATGGCGGCACGGCCCATGGCGGCACACGGCCCACGGCCAACCTGGGGATTGGTTTTCACCTTCCTATCAGTCAGCGAGTCGGCAGGAGACGAGAGGACGACGGGTTCGGTTCTGGTCGTTGGTGTAGTTGTTGCATTATTTGGTGGAGCCAGTGACTCGGCAAGTGGAAAAAGATGAAAAGCCGGACTTCACACATAACCCAGCCAACTTTAAGGACGTTGTATTACACGACTCCATGTGGGCCTTTGGCTTTGTAGCTGCTGCAACGAAATGCAATGCGACACCGGATAATTCGGATCACTGCTGCCCGTTTCGTTTTCCTTCCCGTCTTCGCGTTTTTTCGGTTTTCCGGTTCTTCCGCACTCCTCCGTTGCCGCGCCGCTGCGCGCTGCGCGCTTCGCTTCGAAACTTGGCGCCGCGTTAGGTAACTTTGCCGCCATCGGCCACGGCCTTCTAGATCAGCTCGCGCTCACGGTCTCCTCGACCCGCTTCACCACGTGACCGCGGCCAGCCCCGTGATTGGTCCATTTTCAAACGACTTGTTCTTCTTTTTGGCATCAGCGGCTCAGTTTGAAATTTAACCGTTTTGTGATGTGATGGTGTATGTTTTGAATTAGTCCAAGTTGTTTATTAAGTTTTGTTGGAAGGTGAGTTTGGCCTACAGTTGTTGTCCACTACTTTTTATGCTAGAAGAAATATTCACTGTCCCGCATTGGATGTGGCGCGGTCCAGACTTGTCGAAATGTTACTCCAAAGAGAGGTTAAAGATTGCGTGCATTGATGGGCCACAAAACTTAGCTTGCCGTCAAACTTGTTTCGGAACTGTTGGATCTTGCTCTCGAATCGTAACAACTGTTTTCTCCTTTCGTAGGGCATGTGATATTTACAATGGCTCAGCTCAAATTATCCTTACTGGCCGGCTTGGATGATCTGCACCGATGTACGAACTCACTTGTGACAGCAGATGCTCAAATAGAAGCAGGTTTGTTCCGTGTAGGCCATTGGTCTTTTTACTCCTTTCGTTTAGTTTTAGTAGGATTCTCTCTATGTGTGTTTCTCTTTTTCCACCAGAATTTGTGAGGTTTTTGCCAATTGTGGAGAGCCTACGCTTGCAATGGTCAGAAGCTGTGACCGAATGCCGTCGCTTACAACAAGCTTTAGATCAAAGTCATCACAACTCGGCGGTTCTCGCTGGCAAATTAACTCATGCCAGAAAGCTTCTAGATCATGAAATCAAAACATGCAAAGCTGCTGAAAAGGAAAAACGGTCTCTTGTAAGTAATGGATGTCTCGACGCTTCTTGGAACTGTCTCATGATATATTTTCATGCATTAACATTGTTTTTGTTCACTGTGGCAGGAAATGCAGCTTCGTATGATTGGAGATGTTCTTGGTGATCAGCGAAATAAATTACCCGAGGAAACGAGAGAAAAGCTGTCTTTCATCAATCAAACTAGTCATTCTGGGATCCCCAACAACATTGCTGACCGGTTGGACACTATTGCAGAACTTGATTCAACTGGTATGAACAGAAGCACAACTCTTCTGCTGGTCAGGGCAATCAATCATGATCTAATTACTTGTTGACGTTGCAGGATCTCTCATGTCTGATATGAGCTATTCTCGCTCTGAAGATGACTTGGACTTGAACTCTTCATTCCTTGATACAAGAAAGGACTTCAAAAAATGCAACCCTACTCCTGATGACATTGCCCCAAGCCCCAAAAGAAGGAGATCCAATATTCGGAAGAGTCTTGAGGTGAGTGGCAGCCTAATAAATTTTTTGACACAAGTTCTTATCTGTGAACTAAGTTCAAATCTGTCCAGGTTCGGAGATCTGATATGGGCACTGAAGAAAGAGTTGTAGCTACCACAACTGTTACTGTGCAACGAGAAGGTAATATCAAAGCTCGTTCTAAAATTGAGACCAAGCCTTCTGCAAGACCGAAACCAGCTGCAGACCTTTTCCCATCCGCTCCCCCTATATCAAGTAAGTGGCCTCCATGTTCTAATGTTAATGCTGTTTTGTTTGTGAATGAGCTAGTGATGAGAAGCGTATGATGAGCTCTGGTTGAATTGACGTCATTTATCTCAGACTCAACCCAATACTTCTCCCTCCCATTGTAATCTTGGTGATAGTTGTTTTCTAGACTTTCACCGTAAGGCCGATGGGACAGTGTTGACACACTCATTAGTTTTAGTTGTGCTAAAAGAAATTAGTACTTCACCTATGAAGTGTCAAACAGGCTTTAAATTCTGGGTGTAAGTGGGCAGGGTTTCATTTTTTGCTAATGGGAGACATTGGGTATGATATCTGACTCTTCAGCTTGCAAGGATTCTACTTTAGTAATCTGAAGCTCTAATAAAATGAAACTGACTAATTTTGCATATGAAAGTGTTTTGACATCATTTTTGATATTGTGGCACCTCTGAAGTTGTTGTAGATTCGACTACGTCTGACAGCAGTTCTGGTAACAACAATAACTGGGCCACACCAAGAAATGAGAAAATGTCCATGAAGCCGCCAACATCTGTTACCAGATCCTCCACTTTAGACATAAGTCCCAGCTATGGAATGAGTAGGAAGAATATGAATACTCGGCCACATAGTTTCACGCACAAGACGACCATTTGCCCCGATGCTTGTAATTACTGTGGCAAGAGGTGAGCTGGCGATGCAAACATTAAAGTTGCTTGAAAGGAACAATTGCCTATAATTACTTTTGTTATTTCAGGTTGAAATTTGGAAAAGTGTACAGTAAATGTCAGGATTGTCGTGCATCATGCCACATGGAGTGTGAAGGACTTTTACCTCTTCCTTGTATACCTGTTGGAAACACTCCCGCTGTCAAAGGGGCTATGGTAAGAATCATTCTGGAATAATGCATACCCTGCATTCGCCTATTATCTGGGCTCCTTGACTAATGTTTTCATTGGAACACAGGGTACCATTGCTGACTACACACCAATGACCAGTCCCATGGTGCCATCCATAATTGTTCATTGTATCAGGGAAATTGAGAGTCGTGGTTTGACAGAAGTTGGAATCTACAGAGTACCTGGAGCTGAACGAGATGTCAAAGCTCTCAAGGTAAGTTTTAAAATCTGGCTTGCCATTCCATTTTTTTCTTATTCCTATTTTTTTTGTAATGTTATTATATATCTTTTTTCACCTACGTCAGGAAAATTTCTTGCGAGGGAAAGGAGCTCCAAACCTATCAAATGTTGATGTTCATGTCATTTGTGGGACAGTGAAGGATTTTCTGAGGTCATTGCGAGAGCCTTTGATCTTGAGAACATATTGGCATGACTTTGTCAACGCTACTGAAATTCCTGATCCAGAAGATGCACAGGCTGCATTGTTCCAGGCCATATCAGAGCTTCCTCAGCCTAACCGGGACACTCTTGCTACACTCATTCTTCATTTGCAACAGTATGATCATATTTTAATTCGCCTGGAGTATGTATTTTACTTCTCTGATAGTTTTCTCTTCTGAGTCATGGTTTCTTTTCAGTGTTGCAGAGTGTCCAGAATGTAGAATGCCCATCAGCAATTTATCTAAAATCTTTGGACCAACTATTGTGGGGTACTCCACAACTGATCCTGAACCTGAAGTTCTCTTATCAGAAACCAAGAAGCAGGCCACAGTAAGTATTTTGAGATTCTGTTGCAATAAGCTATGCTGTTACACAAGTTAATTATGGAAGTAATTTCATGTTTACTGTCTTTCGCAGGTTGTGGACCAGTTGATGAGACTGCCTGCTGATTACTGGGCGAACTTTGCTCATCCTTCTGGAGTAGAAAACAGAGATCCAGAGTGTCTTTCACACACTCCGTCAACAGGATCACTCTTAGCAGGGGCCAGAAATTTCCTGGGAAATACCCCCAGGTACTGTTATCAATTGCTTTACCTTCACTTCTCTTTCAGCCCTCTATAGTAGGTTTTTTTCCTTCCATTTTCATGATAAAAATTTCTTTGCAGGTCTGTAAGGGGAAAGAAGAAGTTCTTTGCTACACCACCTGCCTACAAATAGATGCTGTGGGAGTTGCTGTTCTGTATTACATCACACATGCTTTGTTCATTCCACATTCAGGCTTTATTGTTGTATAGGATAGATAGATCAGTTAGGCATTTTTAACCTTTTTGCTTAGTGCTGTTGCACTGATAACTCTCTTAATTTAATTGCTTCAATTCACAAAATGTGTAATTTTATTAATTGTGGAACTAAAGCATTCCCAGTATGTTTTCTTTCGTTGAATGACTCTTCAATTAAGGCTCAAAAATGCTGAGTTCATGGCACATTGCACTGTTGCTTGTTGTATTTTCATTAAATTTGGAGTATTGAGCAACGAGTGTACTACAGTATTCTTTTGTCCATAACCAAATTGAAATCTTCTGATCTGATTACCTTCTGTGATATTGTCAGTGAAGGAATGCAACTAAAAATTTAATTTATATTAAGTCTTAACACTGTTGCGCTTTAAATGAATAATTCCATGCTTTGTTTTATTCAGATTTTTTTGTTTATTGTCCTGAAATAGCAACGTGTGCTCTTTATTATGTAACACCAACTTATATTATCTTTTATTTATTACAACACCCCTGTAAATGCTGCTCAATGCTTGGAACAATGGTGTTGAAAAATTTATATATGTATGTTTTTATATAGGCATTCTGTGATGCGTAAGTAGCTCTCTTCTCAATATTTGGATTGGTGGTCTTTGTTGCACTATTTCATCCTTTTTGCATGATGAAGTGAGGGAATAGACATTTGACTAATGCATTTGTGTGCTCTCTGTCTTTATAGCTTTATTTTACTCCCAGTTTGGGTAATATTTATCTTACTTGTACATAAGTTTTTGTTTGTTATTCTTGTGAAATTAGTTGCAAGTTAATTTTTACAAGAAGAAAAGCTGACTGTTTTTCTATGTTAATGCATGACACATTTTTTGTACTCCAGTAGCTCTTGCACTATTGTGTATGAAAAAAAGTTGTCTTTTCTTAATTTTAACATGCAAGCTCAGTATTAAGTGCGCCTCTCTTTCATCATAAAATTTTATTTTTGCGTGATGATGTTGTATAGCTCTCTGGTGTGTGCTCTCTGCTAGTGTTCCAGGTGATTTTAAAAAGAGTTTTGTAACCTAATGTATTCAAACTGCAAAGATGGTCAATAAACTTCACCCACTAACCTCGACTGTGTGTTGTGAACTTACTTGCTCAGAATAATAAGTACAAATCGGAGGGGAAGATTGCTTTATTAAATCAGATTCGACGTAACCTCCGTCAAAATGTTTCACAGATCTACTTTGATGATGAGTAGAGACAATTTTGAATATTTGATAACAAACATATTTATTATGTGTAACACTCAGTACATACATTGGCCACTGCCAGCTACCTACAAATCTAATTTCTGGAAAATCACATTGAATACAAGAAACAAACGATAGACTTCATAAACCCAACAACCACAGCCAATTTACATACTGCTCCAAGAAAGTGTGAAAGAATCAAGGAAATGTAGTAAGCTCGTCAGTCTAATTCAATTGAGATAGGATACAAAATGCAATGAATTGGAAAGAAAAAAAATTGGGCAAGTGCAAGGAACCCTTTGAAACCTTGACCTCTAATTGATTAAAAAGTATTGCAAACCCAATGCTCTTAAAAGTGCGCCTCATTCTTTGGTGAGCAATTTTATTCTTTCATTGATTTCACAACATGCAAAACTCAAAAATTGCTTTGGTGAAAGACAGTCTTCTCAATCATCTTAGCTTAGTCCTAACAAGTGCAAGGAAGTGAAATGATTATCGAATTTAATTTATAAATGTAAACACACTTTGACATAGCTTCCTTAACTCATCAAATTAACAAGGCATTGTGGAATGTTTCTATTTGTGCTTCATCATGGAATGAGATAAGAATTGGAGGATGCCTCGCATGGAAAGTAAGGAGGTCAGTCTTTGACAGAAAGAGAACACACAGCTCTCCTATCATGTCATGTGTCTTTGAGACATTATCAGTTAGAATTGAGATCAATGCTTATTTTCACATTTATGAAACCTGATAACCAAGGGGCACTCAAGAAAGAACAGTGCAACACACTATACAGCAGCCCACAGAGTTACCTGACTTCTCAACACGTCACTTCTCATTTGAGTAATGACACTCATATGTCCCTTTCTGGATTCGGAAAAAAGATAAAACTGGACAACGACACAGTGTTGGTAGAAAGTTAAAGACTTATGGTTCCAAATGTTTCATTAAAAAGTTAATAATAGGAAAATGAACATTGTTCTCTTGCACTACTAAAGTCAAGCTTCGTTCGCCTAGTAAATCTAAATAAATAAGAGTAAGTGGGATTTCCTGGAGCAGATATGTCAGGTAATAGTTCTGCCTCTCTTCTGGACCATTGGGAATCCATACATAACTGTGTTTCAATGTTCAACATACATCTAAATAAGGGAATAAAAATGATAATATTTAAAATCCTTTGTAAAATTGGCTGGATTAAAACATCTCAATTATAATAACAAAATAAAGCAAAAATACTACTGTACACATAGATTTGATAAATTGCATATGCAATGTAATAAAAATTATGAATTCCTACAAGTAAAATTGTATCTCATTAACAGTGATAAGGTCAACAACATATATTCAACAACCCTGCAGTTGGCCGATATGAAAGGAATGGATATATAAGAAAGATACATAACAAGAACAGCCAATACACATTCTCACAGAAAACATCTTGCATGTGTCAAACTAAGCCCAGCCACCTTTAACACAAAATATTTACAAACTTTGTACAAATAAGACATAGCATAGATTGTCTGAATTGAAGTTGGTACATACAGATAAAAATATAAAAGAGGAGACACTGAAATATAAAATGGTTGAAGTAAACAGAAATAAAAATTGTTAATACAAGGGCTCGCTATTGCTCGCCAACAATAAGTCCTGAATACAGAACTGTTCTCACAACACAGTAGCAACAGCTGACAGTTCATTATATAAAACAACAACTTTCAAGTTCATATGATCAGTGTTCAAAGTGTTTTCAGCACATGCAAAGACTAAATTAATTATGTACAGACAAAAAATGAACAGTGTAAATAAGACCCTATGCGATTAAATGCACCTAAAGGTAGGACTTTTTGTATTTTTGCTTTTCACAGATTTAAAATCTAAGAAAGCTGGATTGATGGACATGAACAAATATGTGTTAAGACTTGCTGGATACATTTGACACAATTACAAATGCAGAACTAAAACTGCAACGTCACAGTTGAAACAAACTACAGCTGCCAAATAAGTAATTCTGGCTTTGTCTGGATCGATGAACTCACCTCTCACCAGGACAAAAACAGTTCACCAGAAAAGAGTCTACATGGAATCCTTGAAGATACTAAAACAATAAATACTTTGGACTGAATGCTCTTGAATGCTTTAAGACTAGAAAAAGCCACCCATAAAAAGACCTACAGTTTATTTGGTGATACCAAAGTGACCATAATCATCAATAATTGAAGGAAGAAGAGAAAGTAGTGGCTCTTCTCCATCAACTTTACAAAATGTGTGGTGAAGGAGTTCTGCAGCAGTTGCCCGCTGTTGAGGATCGTGTTGCAAGCAATGATCCACAAAGTCATACCCTTCTTCAGATAAGCTTGCTGGAATATCTGGTGTTTCTCCCATTCCAACTTTAAACATCACCTGAGGGCAAGGATTAATTAGAAAGAACACAGAAAAATTAGTTTTTAAATTAAAAAAGCTGCTTATAACATACCTGATAGTTTGAGTCAAGTTCAGCCCATGGCCTTTTGCCACTAGCCATTTCAACAACAACACATCCAACAGACCAAATGTCTGCTGCACGACCATGCCCTTCAGTATGCATTTTTGTGAATACTTCTGGGGCCATATAAGCCTGAGTACCGACGAAACCTTGCAATTCCCCAGGCATAGTTGTATGAGCCTTAATCTTCACAGCTGAGCCGAAATCTCCAAGCTTCAGGCAATTCCCTTCATCCGTAAGAAATATATTGGCACTTTTGATGTCTCTGTGAACTATACCATGACAGTGAAGAGTTTGAACAGCCTGAAAATAGACAAATAAATTTGTAATGAAGGTTCATTAAAATAGGAGTGTGCTAGCTGTCCTTATTTGAACAATTCAAATGAAAAAGCTTACCTGCATCATCTGAAGGGTGAAGCGGCGCACAAGAGGCTCTGGCAGGCCATTAGTAGTTGCAGCCACTAGAGTTTCCAATGTGCCTTCCTCGCAAAACTCCATGAAAATAAGCATTTCATCCCTGTGTATTTCTACACCATAATACCTCACCAGATGTTTGTGCTGGATGCCTTCAAAAATAGCCAACTCCTGAGCAATTTTCTTAATGGTGCGGTGGTCATTTGGTTGGATTTGCACTTCTTTCATTGCCATCAGTTCTCCAGTCAAGTTATTTACAGCAGTATAAACTTTACCAAAGCTTCCTTGTCCGATTTTGATACCCCTTTGCCAACTGAAATTTACTTGACGCAAACGAATATGAACTCTATCCTCCTTGTGTACAGCAGTGACATAGCCAATGAGGTTTTGAGTTCTCAATTTATGATCAACACTCCTCTCCAAGTTATCCACAGCTGCACGAACTGCATCCATACGTGATCTTGGAGCCACATACAGGAGAACATTTTTGCGTTCTTGAGGAGAAGGAGAGTCCACACTTCCATCTGACGGTGTGTTGATGCTGGGTTTACGAGTTGGGGTTTGAAGACGCCCATTGGTATCTAGTGGTGATCGGGGAAGGCGGAACCGGGGCCGAGGTGTGGGAGAATTAGCCCTGGAGGTCGAATCAGCCGACTTTACATCCTTCATTGGATCAGGATTTTTACCAATTATATGTTGAGTGCAATCTTCCACCTGCAATTTAAACTCACGAAACTCATCCTCAGATAAAAATGTGGTATTTTCAGCATCACAGACAATGAGCAAATACTCCAATCCTTGATTCGCCCATCTTGGTCTCATGCCTCTCCCTGGCTCACATCTATGCTTCACAAAGTTCATCCACATTTGGGCAAAGCCAGTCAGTACCCGTGCTACATTGGGTTTGATGTCTCCTGTTACATTTTTACAAACTTCTTTGTGGAATTCAAACCCAAACTTGTACCCTTGGTGCAAGGTCTCTCTGATTGTAGCTTGAACAGCCTCATTCTCCACTGCATCAATTTCTAAGGAATCTGTTACACAGAAAGCCTTCTCAACAGTGAACATGGCCATTTTGACTGTTTTGCACAGCATTAAAGCCTCAGTTTTTAATGCTTCTAAGCAATTGTGATTTTGAGATCCCATGGCTTCGACATCCTTCTTTAATGTTTTGGCAAAATTAAATGCCTTTAATGAACGTTCTCTCATGTCGTTGAAGACACATTGCAGCTCACGACATAATGTCAAAATGGACTGTTTTGTTACCTGATCTTTGAAGTCATCACCTGACTCTAACACAGGACCAGTAAGGAAATCAATATTTGAGGTAAGTGTCTTTCCAAGGTTCCGGAGCATGGAATTGGAAATACAACAAAACCGTCCAGAGATCATGTTTACTCCAGACGGAATTTGTGAAGCTATCTGTTTTGCAAATATCCATTCTTCCTCTAGCAAAGATTTTTGATAACTTTCTTGCTCAACAAGCTGGCACCATCGTTGCAAATAGTCCAAATAAATTCGAAAAACACTTTGTGAGCTCTTGTCCAAATCATGGACATCTTCATACAAATCATGATCAAGTTGCATGTCATGAAATGCATGAATAATTAAGGATTCAAAGCGCTCCCGGAACATCACAGCCAAACGAAGACCTTCTTTCAGTTCCCTCATCAGCTGCCGCAAACAAAGATCTGACGGCTTTTCTGGTTGCTGCTCAAGTCTCATGGTTAAGTACTCTTGAATGAGACGAATGGGGATTCTTGCAAGGAAGAGGAATGAGGAGTGATAAGAGGGTAGACCAATCTCTTGCAACTCCTGACTCCAAAATCCATGGCGCCTCAGTTCCTCCTCATGCACGCATTCCAATCGTTTTTCTCCAGCAACAGGAACATCACTTGGTTTCTCTAATGTAATGCACGAACGCACAAGTGTGTAACGGTGGAGTCTCTCCAAAAATCGCACAGACTTGCGAAGACCCTTTGTTTTCAGGACTTCTTCAATGAACAAACGGTAGGGAGAGGATTTGTCCTTTTTGTTGGGGCAGATCTGCTGACTTATGGTAGCGAGTGCAGAACTGTAATCAACAACATCTGGCATTTCATAAATACTAGTTGATCCTTGAGAACTTGCTGAATCTGAAGGACTGGATCCTGTATACTCAGTATCAAAACGCACTGATGGTTTCCATTCCAATCTCTTTCTTGGAGTTTCATCAACAGGTGGCGAGTCCTGTTCAGCTTCTGTGTTGGTTTCATTAGTGCCATTTCCAGAATCTATGTCAGCTGGTTCCGGCCACGGCGACTGGGTACGACATATAAAAAGTTTACCCAAAATCAGCATTTTCAGACGGTGTTGCTTTGTCATGTTCAACCAAAGGCACATTGATTTCATTCTTGCTATGAACTTTCCATCCTTATAAAGAGGGTAGCACATCGCAAAAGCTTTGCTGGAAGGGAACAGCGATTCAGCCTGCTCAAGCCTATTACTAAGTTTTTCAATATCTCTGATAGCAGTGTTTTGCCTGTCAATGCAAAACTCACAATACATGGACAAACAAATTTTGTACCTACAGCTTTTCAAGCTAGAGTCATCAGTATGAGGGTGGTTCTTGATGCTGAATTCAAAGTGATATTCCATGATTTCATTGAGCAGTCTGTCTACCTCTTCACGTGCCTTACACAAAAACTCATCCTGCGCAGGTAGTGAACGATTTGCATGCCATGCTTGTAGCTCCAGCCAAATAAGATCCTTCATGTCGTTTTGCCAACGAAATTCTTCATTACTAAGCTGCCTTAGAGCTACCTTGTCAGTATGTTTCTCAGGACCAAGCAATGGACCAAGTTGATTAAATAGTTCTTGCCGAGAGTTCATAGAACTGACAGTAGTTTTCAGTTTCTTCACACTGTGGCAAGCAACAAGTTTGGATGTCAAACTCATGAATCGCTTAGAGCTCTCAATCTTCATGGCAGGTTGCATGCCAAGAGGAACACTTTCTGCCCTATCCACACCACTGTCGACTGAAAAAGAGTGGATTTCAGACGGATGCGAGAGGTCCAACTTCATGTCTCGTTCTGAGCCACGCAGCATTTTCATAAATCTCTTATTACTTCGTTTTTCTCCATCTTGAGATTGTTCCCCATCGCTTTCAGCAATATCTTGATTCTCAAAATACATGGCATCAAAAGTATTCCGCCTGGATATTTTTAACTGAGACATGTTTTCTTTGCGTTCCAGCTCTTTCTCTCGCCTCTTCCAATCACGATTTTGCCTGGACAACCTTGTCCGAGGAGGAGTAGTGCCTAGTCGGTGATCATCATACTTATTAAAAATTGCATCAAGACTGGACTCTCTACTGTTGTTATGGAACGCAGTCCCATCACCTTCTGGTGAGGTATCGCCTGCAGGTTTCCCAACTTCAATACCATTTGATCCTTCCCCATCACTATCAGAGTGATAGTTGATCTTGATTCCCACTCTTTTCTTCCAGTCTTCATCAGCCATTTTGATGGCAATATCTGAAAACAGAATAACAACACCTTGAAACAGTCTGTAATAGTTGGCAACTACATTGACAGCACATAAAGAGCATCATTTTGCCAGCATACCCAACACAATAACATGTCTAGCCACAGTTGTGTAACATAACCTAGTCGCTAAAGATGACTGACCTGTGCTTGTCGTGATGCGGCAGTGACGCAATAGCACTTGCACTCAATTGACAGCGTCACTCAAAGAAATGTCAAATCACATTTCAAAAAGCTGTCCAAAACCGTCCCGTTTGGAGGCGCAAATGCAGGCTGCGACGGGATAATCACAGAGAGTTGACTTCATCAGCCTGCAACGTCGAGTCGTGTAAGCAGAGTTGAACAAACAAATAAACAGACAGACACAATCACATCCTTGTCACGAGCATGCCCGGGCTGCTCTTGCAGAAAACATGACGCAAATTACATCATTCCCGAAAAATGCAACAGTTACATTACCACGTACTCCAAGTAAACCCTCGCGAGTCGGATGTTGTCCTGTCTCGTCTCGATCTTCTTGTCCGTCCGCGTTCGCGTCTGCGCCCCGCGTAGTGGCCAGAGGAGATCCTTCGCCTTCGCCTCACTGCCCGAACAGGCGAGTGGGGAGTGGAGGCCCGTGGGGCCTACTGAGGCCGAACTCTTTCCCAAAATTTTAATCTTTGTTCGCTCAAAAGGGAAAAAATGGGGGTTTTCTTTAAAACTAGGGGCATATACTATCAAAGGGATGGGGTTTTTGGGAAAAACATCAGGGCGGGAAAAATTTTGCATTCTCATTGCAAAGCGTCAGATACCCTTTTGACCATGGTCGGTGGATGGGCGCACCGCCTGCTAAGGGCCTGAGGACTCCACTTTGAAAGGGAGAATGAAAATATTTCCTGCCCTGATTTTTCCAACCCCCTTTCCATTTATAGTATTCCTCTGTTTTAATAAAAGCCCCTAGTTTTTACCCTTTAGGCTAAACAAAGAAAAAAAATGGTATACTATGGGGCCCCCGCAGATGGGGCCCCCCGCGGATCCTCGCCAGACACGGGAGTCGACCCCCGCCGCCCCTTCCTTTTTTGTCATTTCCCCCGTTTAAAAACCCGGGTAATCCGAGATAAAAGGGGTTCGGTTTACTCAAAAACGTCTTACTGAGTGCGCCTCAAAATATATTTTTGCTTATAATCCTTTAATTCGAGTATTTTTGTTTTTTCAAATCCTCCGACCATGGTCAGAACGCCAGACCGAGCGTCCGTTCCCGAGCCGAAGGCATTTATAATTCTCCTGGCCCGAACTTCCCGAACTCGATCTCGTCTCGTTTGGAATCGAGGTCGAGTGCGCGGCGCCACGCTCGACGGGCCGGTCGCTCCTCGAAGGGCTTAAATCGCTTCAATTATTGTGCGAGAAGCAGAAGCAAGGCAGACGAAAGTGGTGGGAGGGGAGGGAATGCTGCGATGCACGATGCGCACTCTGCCTTGCACCGCGAAGCGCGAGGCGCGAAGGCGACGGCACACGAGAAACGCGACGCGGAGACGAGAGATGCGCCTTGCGACTCGGCCGCGTCGCAGAGAGGGTTTATGACCCGAAACGGCGACGGGCCCATGGGCCCCGGCAGCAGCTTGGCAGAAGTCCGGACGGACGGACGCACAATCTGTAATTGTACGTCCGTCCCCTCTTCGAAGCTTCGCACCTCCCGCACCTCTTCCGCCACCCACCCTCTTGCCGTGGTAATTCTTTTCTCCCCCTACCCCCCTCCCCACTTTTCTGTCCCGGTCACTCGCTCGCCCCTCCCGTCCAAGTCCACGCTGTCGATTGGGTTGCCTACGTTACGGCGCAACACCGAGCTGGGCTGGATGCTCCATCGCTCTCTCTCTCTCTCTCTCTCCACTCCAATAAGACGCGCGAGGCCTCTGTGTAGTGCGAGAGAGACAGAACGTCGAGCAATGCTCAGAATCAGTGCAGTGGGTCCGCGTTAGTGCCGCTCAGGGGCAGCACATGTCCGAATGTAATGCGTGTGTTTCTTAGGCTGACTCGACGGAATAAATGTGGAACAAATCCGACTGAACGTCACTCACAGGCGGATCGATAGCCACGAAGTGCACACTATCAAAGTAGCCTGGGCCACTGTCATCACCCCCCCCCCCCCCTTCGAGCTGCACTGCGTTGATTGTTCGTTATCTTTAGAGCCCGGAAAAATAAGATGATTCTTTCATGTACGGAAATATCACAGAGACCAACAATTTATTTTCTCGTGCCGATCCAAAAGTAGTGGATTTCAACCACGGCGGAGAACATATGTCTGATGTGCATTTTTTTCCCACCCGTTCAAACACGAGTTATCTATATGGAGAGTGACGTTGACGGCTCTAGGCAATATGTCGTTTGTGTATCTAGGCCCCCCGCCCCCTCAGGCCCCCTCAGGCCCTCACCCCCAATCCGGCCGGGTGGAACACGCACACTCGCACGCCAGCCTTGGCGAAACTCAGAGTCACGGCCTCGTCGTTCGTTGGTTGACTCCTTCCGATGCGATGTGCGATGGTCGCGAGTTCAAGTTACGCCCGCAAATCCTTACCCACTGCCTGCCAGTACAGCCTTTCTGGAGTCTTGCCGGAGCCGTTGGGGGAGGGGGAGGGGCAGGTGGACCGTGGGTGTCATTCAACCGAGCCGTCATGCTGAGCCCGTCTCGAGGAGGGAGGGGGGGGGGGGTCTTAAGTCTCCTCTCCGGTTTGTCATTTGGCAACCGCGAGGCGATTTGCTTTCGACAAGATAATGGCGGATTGTCGTCTGTGTTGCCGCATCGACCGCCTCGCAACCGCCGCGCGCGGCCGAAGCCGAAGAATAGACTATTTTTCCAGGACTGTCCCTGCTAATCCTCGCTCGCCTCGCACGCCAGTCATTTCGTTCTAAAACTGTGGCGGCTACACTGTCTGGCCGGCGCGTGACGTCACGGGGCAGGCGGCTCGGCGCCCAAGTGTTGTGTCGCTGGCGACGCTGGCGCGTTGGACGCGGGGCCGTGGCGTGGCCGCGGAGTGCGGAGGGAAGGACAGGCTGGCACAGCCGCTCGCACAGCCGCCTCGCAGCTCTCCGCGGTGCCGTGCCGCGTGCCGCGTGCCGCGTGCCGCCGTCTCGCGGCTCCGGTCTCGCGGCTCCGTCGGGCTCCGGCCGCCCGTCCAGACTGCAGCCAGGCTGCACCTCGAACAGGCGCGGCACCGCCAGGGCACCGCCAGGGCACCGCCGCCCGCCTCGCCGCGACCACAAGAGCGCCGTGACGCCGGCATTGTGACGAGCAGTGTGACGCCGGCATTGTGACGAGCAGTGTGACGCCGGCAGTGTGACGAGAAGTGTGACGAGCAGTGTGACACCGGCATTGTGACGATTGTGACAAGTAGTGCGCCGAACTGTGTGACGCCGGCAGTGTGACGAACCGTGTGACGCCGGCAGTGTGACGAGCCGTGTGGCGCTACAAGAGCGGTCGCCGGTCGTCCGCGCTGCAAAGTGACAAAGTGACCACGATGTGAGTTTGATGAGTGAGTGGAACGCGAGCCTTAGGCTAGTGCAGTGTGCATGCACTGCCTTGCAGTGTGAGTGTGAAGTGAGCAGTGCGAACGCAATGGGCAGGCATGGGCAGCCCGTCGACGCGCCGTCGTCGCCTTGGTCCAGGGCGTCGCGCTGAGTGGAGTCGCCGCCACTCCTCGGCCAGGCCGTGCAGGACGTGCTCCAGGACGCGAGAGGTAAGGACTCTGAGGGCGGGCACGGGGCGGACGGTGGAACGCCGCTCGAGAAGGTAAAGGTCGATGAGCTGGACCGGAAACGAGGCCGTTGGCAAAAGCAGCAGGTTGAACAGCGGCCTTTCGTCGCTCCGTCTCTCTCGCACTCATGGGGTGTCCCGTAAGGGTGCGAGAGAGACGGATCAGCCTTGCGTAGGGCCGCCGAAACGAGCCGCGAATGCAAGGCGAGGCAAGGCGAGGCCCGCTATGCGCTGGGTGCGGTGCGGATTGGACTGCAAGCCCAGGGCCAGCGCAGCACACACACACACACCTTTGCCCCACTTCCTGTGCGAGACGCAATCCGCGGGGTGGGGTGTCTGGCCGTGCGCGCCGTGCGACGGAGTGCGACAGAGAGAATGTTGCATCGCCGGTGAGCGGTGAGCCGCGGTGAGCGCACAGGGCGCGGTCGGTCGGTCGTTCACGCAAAACGCGCACACACACAACGCGCTCCCACACGGCGTTACGGCGGTGTCACGCTCACGCCGAGTAGCACTCTACAGTACCGGGCGTGAGCTGCGAGCACTTTAGGGCGGTACCGCCACGAAGGTAGGCAGGCAGAAGGTCGCACCGACTTGGCCACTGCCAGTTTTTATTTTGCGCCCACTGCCGCTACACTACGGCCGCTACACTCCACGCACATAAAGTGATGGGTGGGCTCCAGCTCTGGTCCGCGCTCCGCGGATGTCTGTTTGATGGTTTCAGCGAATAGTTGGGCGGGGGCGACGCGACGACGCGCATCGCTGCACGCGGCCATCAAACAGGCGAAGACGACCGCGAAGACGTCGAAGACGCACGGCGGCACCTCTTCTCGGCATTTCCAATCTTCATTTCTGGAAGTGGACGGTGGGCGACGCCGCGACGCCGCGACGCCACTGTCGGGACCTGTGTGGACTTGCGGCGCCGAGGGGCCGAGGGCTCAGGCGGTCCAGGCGGCGCCGAGGCTGGAGCCGGGCGACTGGAGCCGACTCCTGCCTGGCCCTCGGCAAACGCTAGGCGCTAGGCGAAGGGCGTGGGGTGCACTGAGGCGTGGGCGAGCCGGCCAACAAACCTCCCCCCCTCCTCTCCTCCCCGTGACACCTCAGGCTAGCCAGCAAGAGGACACCGGGAGTGGTACCGTTCGAAGGTTGAACCGTGTCTGATTCGCACTTTCTGTCAGTCCTGGGTGTGTCGCGGGCTGTAACCAGTCGCTGTTTTGCACTCTACCGGCGCGGTCCAGAGTCAGGCCAGCCAGGCGGCGGACTGACTCCGAGCGGCGTTTCATCGCTCTGTCTCTCTCGCACTCATGTGGGATGCCCCATGAGTGCGAGAGAGACAGAGTGAGTGTTCGGAAGGTTTTAGTTTCACCCGGCGGCCTGTTACTGTTAGCAGAGCAGCCGCCTCTGGCTGCCTCCTGAATGACTTTGTGGCGGCAGTTTTTTTTTTCGCGTTGCCTCACCGCCTCTCCGCGTGCAGCGCTGCGTACGCGTCGATTCGGACTTCAAACATAAGCAGCGCGCCAGTGTGCGTGCGTGTGTGTCCATGTGTGTCCATGTGTGTGCGCGCGTGGGCACTGCTTGCTAGCGGCGTGCCGTGGTGGCGTGCCGTGGCGGCCAGGTAAAAGTCGACCTGGATGACCAGGACAACGCCTCCGCGGCTCCGCGCCCTGCCCGGCCCTGCCCGCCTGCCCTGCACTTGATGCATCGGCCGCCCACGCCGCCACGACACCGCAAAATCGAATCGGCCAGTCGGCACGCTGCCCCTGGTTTCAAATTATGCCGTCGTTTTCGTTTCGTTTATTTTTTTGCCCGGCTTCGGCGTGCTTCCCGTCAATAGGCGGGCTGACTGGTGCTGCAGACTGATTCCGAGAGTCGCTTTCGTCGCTGTGTCTCTCTCGCACTCACGGGGCGTCCCGCACAGGTGCGAGAGAGACAGCGACCCCCGGGATCGGTCTGCTGGTGGCCACTCGGCCAGGCCGCCAGGCCGGGGTGCCGCGAGGCACGGAGACCGCGGCCACCGCGGCGTGGCGTGGCGCGGCGCGCGGCTCCTACGCGTTCATTCAGTTTGTTCACAGCTGGGATTGGCCAGCCGGCCGGCCGCGCGTCGCCGTGCGTCGCCGCCTCCCAGGCATTATCGGCAGAACGGCAATCATTATCGGCAGAGCAGTAATTATAAACTTGTCGCGCGCGCACAACACACTCGAACGTTGTTTATGCTAGGGCTTAAGCCCCGTGCGAGCGCTTTGGCCTCAGACTCGGAGCGGGGTGTTCTAGTGTACTGTCCCGGAACCGGAAATGAGACCCTGTCGTCCCTCTTTCCTCTCGCAGGAGCCGCAGCTAGCCACAGCCGAGATCGGCATGACCGCCGTGGTCTCGGCCCTGCTCCGCGGCCACCCCTCCGGAGTCGCCGTGGAGTTGCACCCGCAAACATGACCTGGTAAGTGCGCGCTGAGAAAGGGGGTCCGCGTAAAGATAAAACTAACGCATGACGTTTCTTGGGACTTCCCCATGCAGACAGCTAAGAGGCCTGAGATTTTCTTGTCCGGTCTTAGACGGGTACACTCTTTTGCGCTACGAGGCTGGGCTGGTCGGGCGTGCAAGCCCTCTGCTTAGGAATATGATATTTGAGGCCTCAGCCGCCAGCAGACCGATTCCGAGTCGTTTTCGTCGCTCTGTCTCTCTCGCCACACCGTATGTCTCCATGCTCTCGCACCCATGGGGAGTCCTGTATGGGTGCGCGAGAGACAGAGCGACGAAAACGACTCTCGGAATCAGTCTGCAGAGCCGTGGCCCGTGGCTGCGCGGCTGCAGCCAACGGGCAGGTAGGTGGCAGCGAGGCCGCGAGGTGGCTGGCAGGGGCCACTCATGTCCTCCAGCGGGACTGTCTAGTCTCAAGGGAACGTCCAAGAAACACGAGGCGGGTAGAGGTAGAGCAGAGTCCCCTTCCTCGAAGAGTGAGGACACTAGAGGTGGGCTGCCTGCAGGCCCGTAGATTGACCCAGCGTGCCCTGTGGCCTTGTCCTATAGCCCTGTACGTAGTCGCAGTTTCGGGGGGCTGGACGAACAGGCTGTCGGTCTCAGTCGACGACCAAGGACGGTTCCGAAATCCAAGCAGCACGGCCGGCCCGGCGGCCCGGAAGCGTTTAGCATAATTTTAATTGTTAGTTTGCGTGTTGAATTTTCGGGACGGAATCGGGGTAATCCGGCGTGGGTTGACAGACTCGTCGATACGGGCGTTGACGAGGGTGAGGCAGAGTGTCAGGTGGCAAGCAGGCAGCCCGACGTGCGAAAAAACGAAATAAAAACAAAAACGGGGGGGGGGGGGGGGGACGCAGCCGCGACGCGTGGGCTCCAGTAATCTAGAGGAACGCGACACTTTGCAAACAATATAGCGCGCCCGCTTCCTTCCTGTAACGTCTCAATCGATAGCCCAGACCGAAGTCGTAAACCACACAGTGTGCGCCACACACAGACACACACACAGAAGTGTCTGGTCGCCTTGGATTATTAATTCTATCGATAGAAGGGGGAAGCAGCAAGACAGAGCTGGAGGCCGCCGCTGCCTACGACTGGACGTCGTGCTCCAGCAGCTCCAGCGCACTGGACAAGTTCATCGTTTCAGAGCCTTGTCCATTCCCCTAACGAGCTTGCTGCTCGTGTGTCTACGGCCGTTGTCTTCATTGTGCTCCGAGGCGACAAGCATTTACGCAACCCCAAAAATACATCATTCATTGCTATGCCTCGGCTTCGCCCCCGTGAACGCGAACGCCAAGTTTCGCTCGGCTTGATTGGCGAAGACTTACGACTCTTCGCCGTCCCGTTCCCGCTCCACCGCTCGGAGGCTACCGCGCCGGCCGGGTAGGCAGCCCAACGTGCACCACCGCTCCATGGCGAAAAAAACGGGGGGCATTGGGCAGATTCGCGAATTTGTGCCTTAGTTCACAACACTCATCCACCAATTACTTAGGCCCTACCACGGATGAGACAAACTTCGACCCCCCACCCCCTCGAATCGTTAGGTCTCGAGCGGGGCCGCTGATCCGTCAGGTGGCTTATGACCGACCCCTCGCGAGGCCAGCCGCCCCACTGCCGAATAGTCGCAGAGGCTCGACACACACACACACACACAGACACCGGCACGTTTCAATTAAGCTGTCCCGTTCGGATTGTCTTTCGCGTGGGAGCGGCTGGAAGACATGGCGTGGTTCATTAACAAATGGCGCAAACGAATCCTGACGACGCTAGTGTAGTCAAGTCTCCCCATTCCAGTTCTGCGCCTGCTGCCGAGCGGGTAGGCAAACCTTTCTGCATCGGATCGGCTTGCAGTGTTTCGGTACTGAATTGAACCACATACGTACACGCAAACACTTCGAGTAGAAAACTTTCAGATTCAGTGGGGAAGTGACGTTCCAACAAACCCTCACTCAAGACAAAAACATATTTTATTATACATAGATTATTATACAGGCTTCAAAATTACTAGTAGATACAATACATACACGTCATACTTGATGGAAAGCATTAAATTTCTCTTCCTTTGGAGTGCTGCTTAGCTTGCTGTTTTAAAGTGGTGTTTAATAGCCGCAGAAGGCCTTGAATGTCCTGCGTTTCACTAAGTGTTTTCGATAGAAGCTCGAAGTTTGGCAGAATAGGGTTTGTTTCTAGTACTGAAATAAAAAAATAAAACTTGTACTGTACTTTAATTCATCTAATACTGAAAGTAGCCTACTAATTGAGTGTATTACTTACATTTCCATTCCTTCTTCAAAGATTGATACACCTTTGCAGATTTTGGAGGTAAAGTCTCTGTGCTTCCTGGTGGTGAGTTCTCAAATTTGAAAATATAGGTATGACCGTGATCATCCCTTTCTAGGAGACGAATATGACACCCGACAAACTTCTTGTACTGATCTTTAGTTAGTATGACAGAATTATGCTGCTGTTCCTTTTCAGTTTTCACAACATTTTCATCTACAATACAAGAAACAAAGCAATTAATACCAAAGAATAGCAAAATGCAAGCATCTTTCGGGAACACATTACACATTACCTATTAGCAATTCTCGTAACTTCTCCTTCAACATTTCCCCATCCTGTGCAAGCAACGGCACCTCATTTTGCTTGTCCAATAGTTGAGAGCGAAGATTGCTGCTTTCTTCCCGAAGTTCTGCAGTTATTTCTTCACCTCTTCGTATTTTAGTTTCCAGTAAATCTTTTTCCCGCTCCAACTTTCGTATATGTGTCAATGACTCCCCCAGGTGTTCTGCAAAGACGCAAAGACGCGAATTTATATTTGATTCACATAAAAAATAAATGCTTGGTGCCACAAAAATAATAAGGGCTTGAAAAACAATAAGTAAACAATGGTTTGGGTACATACTTTCATTCTTAGAAACATTTACAAAATCCGTAACAAGCTGATATGCAATCTCATGGTTTTTCAAAAGCACTGCAGTATTCTTGGCACTCATTTTTTCGTGCTTCAATAATTCATTAGTTGAATCCTCAAGGCAAAAGGAGAAATCCTGGAAGTAAACAGAAGGAGAAGGTTCAGCACAAAGAACAGTGATTTCATGAATGAGGACAAGCGCGTTGCGGGCCCATAACATAGAAACAATTAACAGTGACAATACCGGATCATCAGCCATAATTCAAAGATAAGACAGCACTGGTATTTTTTTGAAAAATAAAGAGAAGATAAGTTTCAAAACAAAGTACAGGCACAACCGTTTCATAAACGCTCACGCTCACTGACAAATGACGATCAGGTCCAGTCTAGCCGTAACCTGCAACCAGACAATTTGCTAGATTTTTGAAACCAAATACGAAATTATGACGCAAATAAAAGCAACACTAGATAAAAAAAAATACGGAGAAAGTGGAAAGTATTGTCATAAACAGTGTCATGAACCCATGAAAAGTCTATGTTGTTACTATTTTTCTTTGATAGGTTGGCAAACACTAAATCGCTGTTCAACCTTCAAAAACGGAAACAAAACAAATCCAATGAACGCCGAAATTTCTCGATTTAGGGAGATGGACACCAAAATTATATTCAGGCTGAAAAGCCGGATGATATTTTGGGGATGAGTGTATGTGCTGTCGGCCTTCATAACCCCAGCGAGGAGCGTTTGGCTGGAGGTTGGAGGTTATGGCGTTCATGGCGCGCTCTCTTGGCGGGCAGACACAGACACCAGACAGCGCGACGAAGATACTCCACGCCCAGTGACCTTCCGCGCGGCGATACCCCGCCCGAGCAGTCAAGTGAGAGGAGACTATCCTCGGGAGAGATTAAAATAATTAAAATTAAAGTCCAGAGGAGCAGATATTTTAAGACAACCATCGGCGACAAATCGATTGGATCAACATTGACACGGAAACCAAGAAAAAATTGAACTTGGACGTGAAATTGACGCCACGTCGATGCGACAATCCACCTCTGTGTAACGCTGTATCTCCCGAATTCAAAAACATGTTCAGGGGACACCCGGGTTTGAACCGGGGACCTCTCGATCTGCAGTCGAATGCTCTACCACTGAGCTATATCCCCCCTCCATCACCGACCGCCCGCCGCTGGTATACAGTGTACGCGAGAGCACTGCGCGTGCCGTGGGTGGGCGCCGGGCAGCCGCCGTCGCCACCGCAGCAGCAGCGGCGGCGGCAGCAGAGAGAAGCAACAAGCCCGCGCTGTCTCTCTCTGACTCACGGGCGCGGGCGGGTCGGCGTCTAGTGTGTGGCGCTGGCGGCGCTACAGTCTCACAGTGGGCCATACAGTACGTGCACTATTTGGAAGCAGGCGCCGGCGAGACGACACGGCTGAGTGCAAAGTTGGCAAACGCGCGAAGCGACAATCATGGTTCGGGGCTCACTGCATGTGCGTTTCTTTTCCCGTCGATGGGAATGAAAGAATTGGGGTTGTCGCTAGGTCGCTCCAGGCGGGCGCGAGGGACTCCCAACGGTGCAGTCATGAGCGGTAAAGGAGGGATGTCATGAACTACTATCGACTTCACTTTTGGACGGGCCCTCGGTCTAAGTCGTTGTAGGACGGCCCCCGTTCTTTGGCACGTGGTGAAGGAGCGCGTAATTTGCGATATTACTTGGTGGGCGTTCGATTGAGATGAACCAGGGGGAGGGGGGCTGCCCACGGAGGCCCATGGAGCATGGCGGGCATGGCCCGGCCTATCCTGACCGAGCTGGCCCGCCGGCTGGGGCGTGGGGGAGCGGGGCGTGGCACGGGCACTGTCAATGCCCCGTCTCTCTCTCCATGGCATGCAAAGTCTTGCAGCCTTCTCTGTCTGAAGCGCCGGCTGCCCGTGCCTGTATACCACCGGTGCTGTACTAGACTAGCAAAGAAAAGCACCCAGGCCGGAAACGATTTGCTCAGACTTGGGACAAGCAAGACAAGGTTTCGGTAACGGAGGGTCTGGCCTTTTTGCTCTCAGATGTCGGTCGCACACATGCCGTGCACGAGTCGGGCTGCCGAGCCCCAACAGCAGATATCGCTAGCCAGATTTTTATTCCCTCTCAGCAGATGTCGTGCGGGTGTGACTGTATATGAGACGACGGCTTCGACGCCCTGCGCCCTGCTTTCCTTGCTGCTTGCGCCCATTTTGTCGTGGCAAACCCAAAACCCTACCGACAGGATGGGCACGTGGCGGGTTTTGTTGAAGTGGGTGACGGCTTAAAAATTTCGTGTCAGCCGGATTACGGATTACCCGGCTTGTTTGTAACCTATACAGAGGCGCGGATAGAACTGCCACTTGCTGGCCGATAACTCTTTTCTCTCCAGTGTACCAATTCGCGGCTTCGCGGCCCGTCCGGGCAAGGCTCGCAAGGCGGTGGGCCAGGCCAGGCGGTCCGACCGGACGCGATGTTGCCAACTGCCGCGCGCTGAAGTCGCTGAAGGCGCTGCGCACTGCGCGTGGGAAATACGCGTCTCAAAATAAACAGTCCGCTTTGCTCCGCGCCTCCTCGCCTCTCTTCACTTCATGTTGGGGACTATTGCCGCGCGGAGCCATCACTCCAAAAGGGGACTGGCGGACGCACGGACGCTGTGTTTGGATTCGGCCGTTTTGACCGATAAAAAACCGGGAGGGGTTGGGTGGGAGGTGGTGGCGCGCAGTGACCGGCCTGTTTTCACCAGAATGGGCCCGGCTATTTTTCTTCTCCCGTTCATACGATTTCTAGATGATTTCTCTCAGCTGGTACTAAAACCCGAATGTTTGAAGCAGAGTTCTGCCTCCCACCCAGTCTAAATCCTCACGCCCACCAAGCAGTGCCAGTTCGCCATTGATTTCCCTTGCCTGTCTGTCTGTGTTCATGTCCGTCTGCCGGCGCACCGACTGGGCTGGCCGGCCGCTTTTTACGTCACGATGATGGCCATGTTTGTCGTGGAGCGCAAGGCGCGCAAGAAGGCCGCGCAAGGTCCCCGCCGTGAGTGACATTAATAGTGATAGTGAGGCCTTCGCAGCGCTTCGCAGGCTCTCCTGGGCGGGCCGGGCAAGGGGCCGGGCGCTCTCATGGCCTTGCCGGCCTTGTCGACTGCGGCAAAAACTGTTACAGTGCCGTGTCCCGCTCCTGCAGTTTTGCGATGACTGGGGCGCGCCGGCCGAAGCCCCTGCGAAGTGCGGGGTAGGCAACCCGGCGGCCTGCGCTGCGTCGCGTAGGGCGTGGTTGCCTACCCGAGAGGCTACAAAAGTGAGAGCGCACGGAGGTAGGAAGCTGTCATCATGTCGATGCCGCACGTTAATTGTCTACTTTTCCGAATAAGTCATCTTGATTGAAGACGCGTCTTTTTTGTGTGCGCCGCATTCCCGGCCGCCTGGTCGTTCTCGGTACTAAGCCTAAGCCAAGGAGGTGGATAAAGGAGTGTAATGAGCGTGGCAAGGCGGGGCGGGGCGGGGAGGGCTGTGGTCCAGTGCGGACAGACGCACGCTTTCAGGTCGAACCCTTTGCTATAGTGTTCCTGCCAGTGGGCTGCTGACTCATCCCAGTCGATCGGGCGACGCGCAGGTCACGCTGGGCGCGGCCGTGGCGCGGCCGTGGCGCAGCACCGCACATACTGGGGCACGCCAAGCCACACTTCCTGTTCAACAATCACGTAACACGTGGACGGGGAAAGGCAGATTTCTGATACGCCCTTCTTTGTTTCCAGGCGGCCATGGCGGGTCGATCCGTCGATTCCCACACCGCGTTGACTCCTGGAGCCCGGCCTCAACATGCATCACCATCACCACCAGGCCGTCCACCGGCACCACGAGGTGCACAGCAACACCACCATGACGGTCATCAGCGCCTTCCACTACACGTCCACCAGCACGACCTCCTTCAACTCGTTCAACTCGGTGGGCGTGTTGCCGCCCCCGGCGCTGCCCTCCGCCGCCCCCAGGCTGCAGGCCGTGCTCGCGACCAGTCGAGTCGCCGCCGCCGCCCCCAGTACCACCCCCAGCGCCGCCCCCAGCACCGCCCCCGCTCGCGTGCCGCGACTGCAGTCCGTGGACAGCGCCGCCATCTTGAGGGACACGCGGCCCGCACCGCCCCCGGCAGCCTCGTCCGCCAATCGGGGGCGGGGCCGGGCCCGGGGCAAGCTGCAGGCAGCCACCCCCGCGCCGCCCCCTGACGCCTCGGAGACAGCCGCCGCCGATACCAGGTTAGCGCGCGGCCCCGGAAAGAGCCTTGTCGCTGTGTCTCTCTCGCACCCGCACGGAAAGTCGCGCGAGTGCGAGAGAGACGGAGGAACGGAATCACTGGTTGGTGCAATCATTGCCTTTCTTTGCAGCAGCGGTGTCGCGATGGGCACTGCCGCCTGCGCCCCGAACAGCAGGCCGTCCAAGTCGTCCTCATCCAACCCCTGCTCCCCGAGGCCAGCCCGCGCACCGCGGCCCCCGGCGAGCAAAGCCTGCAAGCCCCCCGACGCCAAGGACGCCAAGGGCCAGCCACAGCCTCCCTCGACCCAGTCGGCCCCGCCGACCGGCCGTCCGAGTGAGCCGAAAGCCCAGAAAGCCCTGAAAGCATCGTCCGAAAGCTCTGCGGAGGCCGAGCTTTCCCGCGACAAGCCCGCAGCGGACCCGCAGCGGAAGCGGGCGGACTTCCCGGAAACGAGAAAGCCCGCGGGAAAGCGGGAGGAAAGCGAAAGCGGGAAGCCCAAAGGAACGAGGAAGCAATGCGACCCCGCCGACGAGGAGCAGTGCGCCGTGGTGGCGAGGCCGGCACGGCAGGCCGAACTGGGCTCACGAGAGGCGCTCGACGCGAAGCCTGGCGACGTCGAGGCGTCGGCCGAGGCCCTCCCCAGCGACTCGGCGGCGAGGCACGCCTCCAGGAAGGCGGCCAGGACGTCGCACAGCGCGCCCTGCTCCCCGGCGCCGCTGCGGCGGTACGCGCCGCGCAGCAAGTCGCCCGGACCGTCGCCGTCGTGGGCGGCGCCCCTGCGGCTCAGCATCCCCTGCAGCGCCACGACGGCGTCCTCGAGGTCCCCGAGCGCGCCGCTCGGCTGCAGCTCGCCGCGCTGCAGGCGCGACGCCCGGGGCTTCTCGTTCCCCAGGACGCTGGTGGCCGTCGCCGTGGACCTGGCGCCGCCGTCCGGGCCGTCCAGCCCCGCGCCCGCCGAGCCCTCCGACGGCGTCCTCGGCGCCACGCCGCCGGCCAAGGCGACGCCGTCGAACGCAGCGCGGCGACCGCCCCCCGAGGCCACGGCAGCGGCGAAGAGGTGAGTGCGTTTGCCTGGATATCGCAGCGGGTAGGCCGCCATTAACTTATCACCCTGCTTGTCGGAGGCCGGAATGCTCCGTGCACGGAGTGCGCGGTGCGCGGCGGAGACCGTCTACCTGGCGTCTAAGCCGCGCCCCGGGCCCCGGCCAGTGATACCCGAGCGCATGCGCCAATGCCCCGACTAAACCCACTAACCGTTTCCGCGGAGCGCAAAGCGTTCAGTCGTGGACGCGTGGACTTCCCTCGCGGTTCCCATTAAATTAAATACCCGTTTAAAAACAGTTCCGCCGTGTGAACGGGCCCCGCGTCGTCGGCGTCGCCGACGTCGACTTTCGCGTGGCTGCTCCCCTATCGTCTAAGTCTCTTTGTTCGCCGCGGGGAAAACAACAAGCCGGGGAAACTCGGGCAGCAGACGACACGACTGTAAATAATGCGCGGCCGACGTGAGTGTAAATAACGCTGGACGCGGCGACCGGCACGCGGTGCACGCGGCACGCGAGAAAGGCTGGCGCGGCGGACACGCATGGGCTGCAGCAGGGCTTATATGCACGATGCACGCGGCGAGGCACGCGGCGAGGCACGCGGTGTGGGTGGCGCGCCGTGGCGGCGATAAGCAGCTTTCTAACTTTCTGCCTTTAGTGCACTTTAGTGCCCGAGACAACGCGCTGCCGGGCTGTTATTGGCGCGGTCGGGGCGTCCTGGTCCTGGAGGACGACCAGCAGGTTGATTCCAAGAGTCCGTTTTCGTCGGTCTGTCTCTCTCGCAGTCATGGTGCGCCCTGTACAGGTGCGAGAGAGACAGAACGACTCTCGGAATCAACCTGCAGCCGCCACAATTGAGACCTCTGTCTGATTCGGAGTCTCTCTCGCACTCAGGGGGCGCTCCGGAGGGGTGCGACAGGGACAGGGCGACGAGAGCGCGGACTGGGTCGTCGTGCGTGGAGGCCGTCGACCGGGCGGGGCGGGGCAAGGCGGGCGGGGCGGGGCGGGGCGGGGCGGGGCGGGGCGGGGCGGGGGGCGGGGCGGGGCGGGCGGGGCGGGCCGACCCGGATCCGGGTGAACGTCGGAGTGCAAATAAGAAACGCGAAACACGAGCGAGACTGCGAGGCGAGCGGCAGTGTCGCCAAGTGCCGCACCGCGCACAGCGGAAACTGTTCGGAATTTTGTGTCCGGAGCGAACGGCGAACCAGGCGAGCCGGGCAAACAGCACAAAGGTCACGTCAGTCACGTCACGAGGAGACGGGTTGGCGTGGAGTCCGGAACGCCGGAAACGCACTGCAGCGTCCAATGGGGGCCTTTCGGCCGGAAACTTCGGGCGGGACTTAAAAGATCCCTGCAGTTGAGCCTCTGGGTCGAGGACCCGGTAGGCCCGGTAGGCCGCGGTGCGCCGGCAGGGACACTGTACTGTAGTAGGTACAGCGTCCTTGCCGCCCATTGGCCGGCGCTGACGCGGTGCGGTCGAAGCCTTACAGCCAATCAGGCGATTCGTTAGAGGTGCGTAACAAGAGCATTCCTTTCCTTTCCTCCGCACTGGGACTCGGCGGGCTCGGCCTCGGCCGCGCCACACCGCCGCCTTGCCGCCTTGCCTCCCGCAAGGGCGTTGGGCGGCGCCGCGTTGCAAGCGTTGCGCAGCCGCCACACTCTAACATTACATCGATTGCTAATTAACAGTTATTTTTCCAGAGATAAACTAGTCGGCCGTGTTCGAGCCCATTCTGTGTGTGCAGTGCAATAACGCCCGGAGAGAGAGAGAGAAGGGGGGGGGGGAGGCGACATGCAGGCAAAGCCGGACGGCCGACGGACGGATCCATGAGGCGCATTCAAATGCGTTTGTTTCACGAATCAGTCGTGAGGAATCACTAAGGAGGAAGTTCTAAAGGAGGACATGTCTTCCCTTCACTCCTCCTTCCCCTTTCCCCCTTCCCTTCAGCAGAAAATTTATCGACTCAGCGTAAGGAGCCATTCCGCTCAGCTTGCTGTCGTGTGTGCAAAGGAAAGGGGGGGGGGGGTCGCGGACGGCCGAGTCGAATAAATCTATGCGCTTGACCTGCACGGCCACGACGGGCACTCTCGCGGCGTGGCGCCGTGGAAGTCGCGAAAGGCAGCAAATGAATTCGACTGCAGGCAATCCGAGCAGGCCGTGCCATGGCGGGGCAACAAGGCAATGCCAGGGATAAGCAGGCACGGCCTCAGCAGCGGGCCTCTGAGTGTCTCGCACGGAGCATAGCGTGCCCGGCTTGGCCGCCGCCGCTGGCCGCGCCCAGCCACCCACCCACACCCATATTGCAGGCTGGGCTGCCGATATGCCCAAATATAGAGGGGCAAGGCTGTCTGCTGACCGCTGGGTGCCTGGCCGCGCCCTGCCCGCCCCCCCTCCCACCGCAAAGCGTCTTCCCCGGTGGCTGCGGGGTGCGTCACAAACGACAGTCAAATGGCCCATTCGACGCGTGAATCGAGACAGTTTAGCTACGCCGTCCAATTCGGCTAGCCAACATGCGGAACTATTTGCCGCTTCGTTTCGTACTGTCTGTCTGTCTGTCTGTCTGTCTGTCTGTCTGTCTGTCTGTCTGTCTGTCTGTCTGTCTGTGTCTGTCGAGAGAACGGCCGGCCGCACAAAGCATGGCAAAGACGTCCACTGCCTTGCCAAGCTGCTCCGTTATAATATTATTAACTGACGGATGTGTGTTTGTAGTAAGTACGCTCGCGTCGCGAGCGCTCGTGTGTGTGAGTGCGCTTGTGTGTGTTTGTGCGTGTAGGCGTCGCAGTCTGGCTGTCTCTCTCAGTCTCCCTCCCCGAGCTTCAGCCCGTCGGCCTTCCTCTCTCTCTGTCTCTCTTCGCGACGCGAGTCCCTAGAGTGCAGTCTGGCTTGGCTATTGCGCCCCGGAAGCAGCGGGAATATGTGATGAGACTGGCTATGGCCGCCTGCCTGGCTGCCTGGCTGCCTGGCTGCCTGCCTGGCTTGCCGTCGCGCAGTGCGGCCATCCCGCCACCAGCCTTGCTGTTGGCCAAAGAGTCCGAGAAGCGCGCCACGAAACCTCTTCAAAATAGCGTGAATTTCCAACACCGACTCTAGGGCGGTTAAATGGGGCAAGCCCTTCCAGTGTGCTAGGCTGTGAATGGCGTCCGTATTTATGTCCCGGCGGGACACTTTACTTTGAAGTTCGGCGCGGCGTCACTACATTGCTACGTTACTAGCGTTGCGACTGGCGGGCGACAAGACGGACAAGCGGTGCCTGCACTGCGATGCCGGGCGGAAGGGAAGGCCCTACACTGTTTGCCTTTGGGGCTCGCGGAGAAAGGGGCACGAGACATGCAAATCCACTGGGCACGCCAAACGCTTCGCCCGCGCTCGCGAGCGAACCGCGACCCGGCACGCCAGCACGCCACCCTGGACGACTTGAAAGTGTAGGCACAAAATGCTCGCCTGCCCGTGGACCTCGTGGGAGATTTCAAAGGCCTTTCTCAAACCACATGACGCCGGCGGAGGGCGGGTAGGGCCGGCGAAACCACGCGGTGCCCTTGCCGCGTGCGGCGGCAATGGCGGCGGCGAGTCGCAGAAAAAGAGCGGCAAAACTGCCGCGCCGCCTGCGCCTCCCTCGCCCGGCCGGCTGCCCGTTTTGACTGTGTTTTGAAGCGTGCGCCACAGCGGTCGCCGCGGTTGCAGCATGCGGCCGGGCCTTGTCGCCTCACTACGACT